GACTGAGTTACGCTCAGATCGGCCCTGATCCTTTGTGGCTTCAAAACATCTGCATTCTGTTTCTCTAATTCAGTGAGTAAGACACGCTGATTAATACAGCTGGAGTGACACACCGCTGTACTGGACCACAACTCTTAAAGGAACTGCACAATTAAGCAATACAAGTGAAAAAATAAAGCAATAAAAAAAATTGATATCAGTGGCCAAACATTTCTTCAAATTTAACTACAAATTTGTATTTATTTATTCATTCCATACAAGAAAAATGTCAAAAAATAAATAGAATCTAGAGAAATTTATATCAGTGGCTGACCATTTCTTCAAATACTGTAAATATTTATGTATTTATTTGTTTTACCCATACAAAAAAATTAATAAAAATAAAGCAACAAGAAAAAAATATATATAGAGAAATGTATCAGTGGCCGCACATTTCTTCAAATGTATCTATCTATCTATCTATCTATCCATCCCATACAGAAATGTCTGAACACTTCTTTATTATAGAATTGCAGATTTCACTGTAAAATTACACATTTTTTGTGTAATTAAACATTAGGTATCAGTAATATTCCTGATACACTGATGTGGAAACTATTATATATATAGAGAAATGTATCAGTGGCCGCACATTTCTTCAAATGTATCTATCTATCTATCTATCCATCCCATACAGAAATGTCTGAACACTTCTTTATTATAGAATTGCAGATTTCACTGTAAAATTACACATTTTTTGTGTAATTAAACATTAGGTATCAGTAATATTCCTGATACACTGATGTGGAAACTATGCAATTCTGAACTCATATTGAAAGTACAACCAAATAGGCAAACTATTTCATATTGAAAGAAACAAGCAAAAGCTGTGAATGTGTAGAACTTTACGAATAACAGGCGTTTAAATTCCATATAGAATCTCTGTAACATTTTTCAGAGTTCTGTGGGAACCGATTCTGTGTGAGAAACTGAATGACAAAAGCACCATTAGACCTGTAATGTCCTCATTCATCATTCAATGTCTGATCAAATTCCAACACTACGAGCTTGAATCGAATCGGTCTACCTATCTGCGCTTCTTAACTTCACACAAGCAGCTGAGAGATGGACAGCAGTCTAAATGAACAGCACGCGAGGTAAGATAATGTTACTATTATGCAAGATGACACTGTCACTCTAATTTCCCCGTCCGTCGCATGTGATCTGTCTGGGTTTCACAGATTCATTATCTGCACTCTGATCAATATATGATGGACGGGGTGACGCAGTCATGGCGGTGGAAACTATCGCCTGCCGCACAGACGGAAAACATGACTGAGCCATATGGCCCACAGCTATGATGGAATCAGGCCATTGGGACACAAGAGGTGAGTCCAACCCAAAAACACAATCAGGATCAGAGCTCCTGCTGAGATCAACATGTGCTGGACTTCACACCACAGCTTTTTTCTTATGAAAAATACCTGAAACTAATTCTAAGATAAAACCAGTAGAGCTAAAAAAATATATATATAGGACAAGTCAATTAAGCAACAATTATCAGCAGAGATTAAACCAATAATCCTTTTAAACAACTTGTGTGTAGCGTAACAAGTAAACACAAAAGAAAAATAAAACCTAAAACACCTTTGCGAAATGGCATAAATAAATTTAAAATAAATACATAAATATAAATATTTATTGTAACAAAATAAAAATAAATAAGCAAATCTATCCATCCATCCCAGTAATTATATAATATTTTTATTAATCAATTAATCTGTATTATAAAAATAATTTACATATATTTATATATATATATATATATAAATTAATAAATACACATGTATTTTAGGGCTGTCAAAAAAAATAGAATTTCGAATATTCTTCTAATTTAAAATAAAAAGCCACATTCAAATGCAAAAACGTTGCATTCGAATTTTAGGTGTGCGTCAGGCAGCCTTATCAGTGGCGCATGAAATGCGACGATAATGTAAGTGTCATTGCATTTTAATGTTTTTGTTAGTCTATCCAGTTGAACCCACTAGATGCGGGCGCTGCTACATTGTTCATTCAAAATATTGTGGGAAAAAAAGAACATCAATGCGGAGACGATTTTGTTTACGTCAAAACCTAAACCAAACCGTTCACACAGAACGCATATTTATCACATTTTCTAGAGGGACATCTATCACCGTTACACTACTAGCGTCTCACACAAGAGACCCGGATGTTTAGAAAGTCATGGAAAATTAATGTAAGTTCAACTTTTTAAAAACGTCTCAAGACTTTATGGCGGTTTTTCCCCATCTTACTGCATCTCAAGTTTTTAAATGAATAAAGTACTCTTTGTGATTGGTTTTCGGTCCTTTGTATTAAACAAGAAAATTGTGTGTGTGTGTGTGTCTGTGTGTACATACATGCAAGAAAATATATGTAAATAAAAATAAATTTATAAGTAATTAAATATACTATTATATTTTTATATAAAATTGAACACATAAATACATATTTACTTACGTAAAAAGGGAAATAACCAAGTAAATAAATATTTAAGTTAATAAGTAAATAGGTGAAGAATATATTTATAAATTTAAATAACATATACACACACATATATACAGTGGGTACGGAAAGTATTCAGACCCCCTTAAATTTTTCACTCTTTGTTATATTGCAGCCATTTGCTAAAATCATTTAAGTAAATTTTTTTTTCCTCATTAATGTACACACAGCACCCCATATTAACAGAAAAACACAGAATTGTTGACATTTTTGCAGATTTATTAAAAAAGAAAAACTGAAATATCACAGGGACGACCAAACGACAGACACAGTGGGGGCGCGAGGGGCGGCGGCTTCTTCCAGCGGCTGCATCCTTCTCGCCTTGGCCCACGGCGTGTGAAGGGACTAGACGGCCCAGCATCCTGGCCTGACGGCCGTGTAACGAGGGGCGGTTCTCATCCGGACCGCGAGTCCGGTAGCTCACGACTCTGGCAGCACGGGTGTCCCTCTATGCATTCTTCCTGGACCCACGAAGACATCAGCGTGCATGCACAGGGAAGAGACCGGTCTCCCGAGGAGAGGCGCGTTTGGCATTTAAACAGCGGCGGTGATGAGGCTCCATTCGGTTCAGGTGTGCCCCATCACAAGCCGCCAGCCCTGGCTATTTCAGCACCCCTCCTCTCTCACGCACCATATACATACATACACATACATATACATACATATACAGTGGGTACGGAAAGTATTCAGACCCCCTTAAATTTTTCACTCTTTGTTATATTGCAGCCATTTGCTAAAATCATTTAAGTTAATTTTTTCCTCATTTATGTACACACAGCACCCCATATTGTCAGAAAAACACACAGTAGTTGACATTTTTGTGAGGAAAAAAAATTAACTGAAATGATTTTTGCAAATGGCTGCAATATAACAAAGAGTGAAAAATGTAAGGGGGTCTGAATACTTTCCGTACCCACTGTATATATAAAAATGTGAATATGCACATACATAAATATATATGTAAAGAAATGAATATTTAAGTAATTAAATAAATACTGGCAAGAAAACAATTTAATCAGTGGGCAAACTGTTTTGCCAGTGAGTTTTTGTTTGTGCTAATGCTCATACTTAATTTATTTCTCAACAAACAATTGGATGTGAAGGAAGCGACCAGCACAAAAGTGTCTTAATTGCTTCCTGTCAAGAGTAGTCAAATTAAAGGCTACTGGCTGACTGTACAAAAAAAAAAAAAAAAATTGGAGAGTCCCGATAACTCACCGACTTGCTGTGCGAATAAGAAATGTTTCAAGACAGGAAAGAAAACTTATAGTGTTGATTTTAATCTTAAACATACCATCCCAGACAAATAATTGCACCAGAGTGTCGGAAAAATACGAGAAATAGACATATTTTCCCAAGTGCTTTATTTTCCAACAAACTCCAAAAACTGCTGTAAAAAAAATCCCCACAAAAACAGAGAATGTGTTCGAGAGAATGAGAAACTGGAACACAGCTCATAAGTCTGCCACATCTCCAGCATGCTGATGCTGAATCCCTACAGGTTACAGGTGGAGAGGACACCGACACAAACAACTCCTGCTCTCATTACACCAACAGCATTAATCTACGGTTTCCTCCAACATCTAACCTCACTGCCAAACGGCCTGATGAAATCACTGCAGCAGAATGCATTGCTATTCAGCTTATATAAAGACGTTACTGATTACAAACAGGCAAGCGTGAGCATTAACAATCTGATGCGATTCTGCACAGCAATGGCGTGAACAAAAGAGCTGTTCATTTGCACGGCCGATTTAAGGTGGGAGAAGTTAATTTAGAGCTATTCGGAGATATCTAACCTCATAAAAACTGTCTACATGCATGAAAGTCTGATAGACTAATGTGGCGGGTAAATAAACAAACAAAACAACCAAAAGATGAATGATAATATTACTATTATTAGTAGTTTACTACTACTACTTAAAAACTGGCTGATGTGGAGGGTGAATAAAACAAAAAGATAAAAAAACATTTTGGTTTGTTGGTTGGTTCGCTATTCTTATTATTGTTTGTTTATTATTATTATTATTAATAATAATAATATAATTAATATTTCATTAATTTAAACATTAAATATTTTTTATTAATTTAATATTTTTTTAAATATTAAATGGTATTATTCTTATTTTTATTATTGAATTATTAAACAAAAAGTTCCAAGATGACAAAACTATTACAAAGACACTCAGCAGCACCCAAAGGAAATCCTAAATAATGATGTTGCTGAATCCTGGAGCTATGGAAACCTTCAAAAGCAACATAAAACGTTTTATTTTTTCTTGTAGGTTCTGACAGGCGTCATTTATCTCATAATGAAATTATTATTTTTTTATTGCTCACTTTCAGTGCCTCTCTCTTGGATGTGCCTATACGATACAACATTTATGCGTATGTAGCTAAACGCGTCTCCGTGTGGACGGGGCCTAAATGGCAAAATCAAAGTTACAATGACAACGAGAGCTGCTCTGTAGCATTAATAGCGATATATTATCAGTTTTTCAAACAGGAATTTTAAATGCCAAACCTCCTATTACATAAGAAGGAAGAAACGAAGAAGACAAACAAATACCAATACTTAAATTCTGGCCAAAACTGAGAAGCCTTTTAATTCGTTTTTAATTAAGTTATTTCTGAAAACCAATAAATGACTGATAAAATAAATACATGCTATATTGTTAAAAAAAGAAAATTCCAACACACTAAAAGCAAAAACAATTAGTTTAAGTGCTACATTACTTTAGGCATCATAAAACAAATAAATTGTCCTCATACTAATAGAAGAGGGACTTTGTGTGTGTGTGTGTGTGTGTGTGTGTGTGTGAGCGGGTGCGTGTGTGTGTGTGTGTGTGTGGTATAAAATATACTCTTAAAGGGAAAGCACTCTTCAAGGGTTATGGCTTTGCCATAAAATGTCACTATACCTACTAGATAATAGCAAGTTTCATCTGAACCTTAAAATGGACAAACAAATACAAGTCAGAAAAAAAAAAGAAAGAAAAACAATATATACACACTACTGTTCAAAATGTAAACCGTCTCTCCTCATATCAAGGCAACACACACAGTAAAAACAGTAATACTGTGAAATATTATTACAAATTACTATTTTCTATTTGGATACATTTAAAAAAAAATGTAATTTATTCCCGCAATGGCAAAGCTGAATTTTTAGCAACATTACTCCTGTCTTCAGTGCCATGATCATTCAGAAATCCCTTTAATATGCCGATTAGGATTCTTTGATGAATAGAAAGTTCAGGATTTATTTGAAACCGAAACATTTACTGTCACTTTTGATCAATTTAATGAATCCTTGCTGAATACAAGTAAAAAAATTAAAAAGTAAAGTACTTTCCCAAACTTTTGAACAATAAAAAGGTTACATATACTGTACATGCTTAACTAAGGTGGATAAAAACAAAATAATCTTCTGTAAGTAGAGATGTGCATGAACTGTGATATAAGCACAATTACTGAACAAATTCCAAATATTCATCATAAAGTCATGTGACTGAATACTTCTAAACCACAAGCCAGAGTGGCTTCCCCATTGGATACAACTTCTACTTCCATTGCTATTTTATGCCAATTTCTCCAGAAGTGGCGATTTTCTGATTTATTGGCATATTGTTTTTCTGATATTCTAATTTTCATTAAAACGCAGCGCTCTGGATCCCAATCAGTCAGTCTGCCGCAGCACAGATTCAGCTCCTCCGACACAACCGGATCAGATACCACCGCCGTTCACTGCTGCCTCAGAAAACGATAGTGTTCATGTCGTCAAACACATCTGCCCTGAATATTCCAGAAAATACCACGCTCGGTAGAAGCCGAGTCCCCGGATAAAGATCTGCAATATCATTCACAGCATGCAACTTCTCAGCCGAACAGAAAAAAAATTAATAAAAATTATTACAGCAACTGATTTAACAAGCCTCTTTCCCAAAATCCACACTTTTTTGATATGAGATACAGCTAGAGTTTTATTAAAGCTCCGTCAAAGACCTTAAATAACAAATGGAGGACTATCTGGCAGAGGTCGAAAACTTTAGATTAAAATAGAGGCCCTCGGATGGTTAACATGCCAGATAGGACATGTATTGGGTTTTCCTTACACCACCCGGGCCACACGACAAAAATCACACACATCTACATAATTGGCACTATTGACGAGTCTGGAGAGGTGAAGCGTTATCAGGACAGATCCAAACCTCTGGGGCTTCGGCACTGATTTGTGTTATTGGAGAGGATAGGACAGCAGCTGCCCTTAGATTTCTCTGCACTTATTTAGATTGACAGCAAATTCAATAATGAACTCACACTCCACGTCCCCGCTCCCACAGGACCCCGACTGAACCCAGAGACGTCCCATGTCACGCCCAGAATAAAAATAAATGATGCATTTTTCAATACTTTCATTTGTGTTATTTTCAGTTTAGATCACTTTACTATTATTCCAAATAGTGGAAAATAGTGAAAATGCACTCTATTAATCAAACTGGTACTTTTAGGATATCACTTTCAGTTATTTATGAAATATATATATTTATTTAAATAAATATGAATAAAAGATGAAATTAAAAAAAATGCATTTTATAAATAAAATGGTGATATCCAGAATATTTGTTAGTAAATAAATATTCACTAACTAATATATAATTAAATTTATTTATTTACTAACTAATTTATACAGAGAGAGAGAGCTATGCAGAATATTAGTTAATTAGTAAATAAATAAAGTCATTTATTTACATATATATACACACACACACACACACAGGTTTGTTTTTATGGTTTATGGGGACTCTTCACAGGCGTAATGGTTTTTATACTGTACAGACTGTATTTTCTATTGCCCTACACCAACCCTACCCCTAAACATACCCCTCACAGGAAACTTTCTGCATTTTTAGATTTTCAAAAAAACTCATTCTGAATGATTTATAAGCCTTTTGAATTACGGGGACACTGAAAATGTCCTCATAAATCACCTTCTCGTTGTAATACCCATGTCATATCCATGTTTTTATACAAATTTGTGTCCTCATAAACCACATAAACATGCACACACACACACACACGGTTTCATATTTGTTTTTAAATTACATATTTATGTTTTTTTTAAATAACTGAAAGTGATTAGTAAAATTACATTAATAAATAGCATATACTACATAAGTAAAATGCAGATTTCTTAGCTGAAATGATTACATTAAGTTTCTCTTGCTTTTGTTTCTTTTAACAGAAAATGGCAATCATTCTGAAACAGAAGTTTGCAGTCTACAAATGTTTTAACACGTCTGTGTTAAAAGGAACTCTGATCATCTTATTTCAAGCCTGTGCACAGAGCGAAACAAAAAAAGTGATTTAAAAAGTATTGCTCAGATTGAGACAAGACCATGTAGACCTGCAAACCCCTTCTAGTCTCAACCTGTATCGCACAGCGAGAAGTCGTTCCCTCATGTCGTTTCGACATTACCAGTTCTGACATATATAAAGTACCGGACCATTATAGAATTTAATGCCTCACTACCCACATCGGAAATAAAAGAGAGATTTTAATAAATCGCTGGGAAAAGTTCCAGATCTGCATTTGTAACGGCAAAACACATGACGCTGCACTGCAGTCCTGCATCTCTTTATCAGCGGGGTCATCCATCAATAGTGAGGAGGAGCGGGAGGGAGGCGAACAGGACAGCCGAAACAATATTGATGTCAGCGACTGGTAAGCACGGAGAGGATCTGAGGGTGACTACACGGGTATCAATAAGAGCCAAACAGTGAGTGCACACTTTTTTCAGCAGTCTTGCTTCCCAAAGCATTTTACCCATTCATTTTCTCCATAGGCATTTCAAAACAAAATTCCCTTGAACCAACCCAAGCAGCACAAAGATGAATCACATTAAGCATTTGCAAATTTGAAATCTTGTTGGAATGAACTATGAAGCTCAGAGTGAATTATATATTAAAATCAGAAATTCCATAATAAAACTAACTGTAATAGGGATGCATGATATATTAGTACCATATCAGTTATCAGCCATTATTAGACATTTATTATTTGATCCGTATCAGTGAATATTAAATGTATTGGATATGTATTATCATCATCATCATCATCTGACATTTTGTTACTTGATTTTTGGCAACTAATGTGGCTCATTCACCAATTTAGAGTTGGACTATTGAAAACTAGTAACACAAAGTTAGACCAAGACTAAAAAAAAATGATCCAATGGTTTGCATCCAGTGTGTTCCAGATAATAATTACAATTTGTGATGCATATTTTTTTTTTAATTCTCAACAATATTTCATATAAAATAATAAAATTATGGGATTTTTATAAAAAAAAAATAAAAACAAACATTTAATGTAGTTAAATATTCAATATCAGCGAACATATATTTCTGTATATCTTCATAAATTATTTCTAAAAATGTTGAGATACTTAAATTTACTTATAACATGACTGATTGATTTTGTAAATTAATGATTTATTTATAATTTATTTAAAAAAAAAGACGTATAGAGATTTATTGTTTGCCATTTACGGTTTAACAATAAAATAACATTCAGTTATTTCAATATTTCAAAATGTCAATATGAATGCTTCATTAGACTGTAACTAAGGAATTATAAGTATAAAGCACAATATATTTAAAGTGAACTGCAAATAATTGAGCTATACAAATCTATACGCTGTTTGAGAATGTAGGGAGGCCGACTTACTTGCTCTATGAATAAAATGGATAGGATATGAAAATCCTGAACCACACTGTTGCTTTCTATAGTGGTCTGGCTCTGATCCAGGTATCGGATCATTAGGAGTCTGGGCAGAACTTCCTCCAAAAGCTGTTATATGAGAATTTTGGAAAGCAGGGCGTAGATTTATAATAAGGTCTACAGGGATGCGACTACTGTATATTCATCTCTGATCAGTATGCAGTCACAGCACAGCTAAGTAAGTTGTACAAAACTCAGACTTGAGCAAAGAAAAGTTAGCTTTATTAGATGTGGAACAGGATCGGGCAACAGCATGAGCAAGATCTAAACCAACGTTCCCAGGAGAGTAATGTCTGTGCATCTTTGACTAACTCTAGATATTTATACATCAGCATGGGACAGTTGTTATTTTGAAAGGTCATTGCAGATTCCTGTCAATAATACATGTCAAAAACAAGTGACAATTCAAAAACAATATGAAGAAAAAGTAAATAAAGAGCAGAATGTAGATCATTTAAACAAAACGGACCAAAAAAAATATTGGCTAATACCCAATATGGTACCAATATATTGTGCAATCCATAATTACAAGCTAATAAAATAAGATTACCTTATTTGTGAAAAATATTTTATTCATATGCATTACTACGAGATTATTCAATAAATCAAACTGAGTAATTTTAAAGTAAAAATAACTATATTGTTTTAAATACTGCTGCTGTGATATAAAATTACTCATACCATTATATACACGATTTTAGTTACACCACCCACCTGTGTGTGGGACGGTGAGAATGAGACCGAAAAACGAGAGAGATTAGACGCTTTCATTAATCTTATTTAGTGGTAGAGAATGAATGCCCTTGATTAGAGATCTCAGCTTGTCTGCAGTCTCTTACCTGCAAAGTGTCTCTCTGGCATCACCTGCAGAGCGGTAGATCTGCTCTCTCCACCCCGCTGCTCCTATGAGCCCCTGCCGCAGTCTTAAGGCTGTCGTTTTGTAAGACACTTAATTCCTCAAAGCAAATGAAAGAAACCTCGAAGGACCCGGAATCACAGAATGCTCCAGACCCCAGGCACCCATGTCTTTAGATGGCTTACTTCTAAAAACAAGAGGCGCTTTTCACCAGGGACATGCAAACCCCCAAGGTTTTGTTAAGCCTCTGCAAAAAGCGCAGAGACTGTAGAACCAGCTCTCAAACAATGCAAGCTTTGAAAAGCCATTCCCATCAGCCTGAATGAACACGCTGAATTCCCTCAAAGCTGACAGACTTCTTGGTGAGATGCAGAGCGGATCATAATAAAATCAGCTCCAGTTTTGACTTTGACAGAAGGAACGAAAAGACCCTGCTCTATTAAATCGCCTTAAAATAGCACAGAAATTATGTAAGACCTGAGAGGACATAGTAAATGCTGAACCGCTTTTAAGTGTGCAGCTAATGAAAGTGTATTACATATATATATACATACATATATACACATATATATACATATATATATACATACATATATATATATATATATAAATAAATAATCCAGTATTGACTCTTAAAGGGGTCATCCGATGCCCATTTTCCACAAGTTGATGATTCTTTAGGGTCTTAATGAAAAGTCTGTAACATAGTTTGGTTAAAATTTCACAATGGTAGTGTAAAAAACACCTTTACCTGGTCAAAAACAGCTCTTTTCAGAGCAAGCAGTTTTGTAGCATTTTCCTTTAAATGTTAATGAGCTCTGCTGACCCCGCCCCTCTCTTC